ATGTGTCACTTAAGAAAACATATTTAAGAAAAACAAGTTCACAGGGCAGAGCAGCAGCAGCCGTCGTGGCACACAGACTCTTGATAGAAGCACTTTCCAAAGATCATCTTGTCACACAACATTTTATCAAAATCCACACAAAAAGTTTTTCAAGTGTGAAAAATGCTTGACTTTTGTTACTCATCTCTCAATTAAGGAAAATACGCTGTACTAATGCAGGTAAGAATGGAAAAGGCCACCACAAAGTGAACACAATTTGATGACTGGAAATCGAAATTGAACAAAGAACGGAAAGAGCCAGTTGGCCAGAATTGGTCAATCTCAACCTTCCTCTTCAGTTTAGGCAACAGAGATCTAAATTCAGCGAACTACACCTTTGACAAAACAAACATAAGAAGATGGATGTATCGGTAGAAATAGGCTCGGTGACTGGTTCCTGTACAAAGTACAGCGTACATGATTGATTAACAGAAAGCATGGTCCATCCAGGCACTGGTACTGGGGGAGGTTCCCTGCCTCTTAAGAAGTCCAGCACAGTGAAGGATTTTGGACTAGGGAATATTAAATTTCAATAGCCATTTACATGTTACTACAGAAGGAACCTTTTTTAATCCTTGAAAATCATCCACATTCCCAGAACCCAATAGAATACTCTTTGAACTATCACTTCAAAAAGACATCAAGCCCTTGAATACCAGTACGTGACAGGGGATGGTCTGTACAGTTTATATGCTAACATGCCCTCACAAGTCTTCTGGTGAACTTCCACAGAGCTGGGAGGTTGAGGTTATTGGGGTCAAGGGACCATCTCAACAGGCAGCTAGCTAAGGAATGGTGAGGTGCCTGTCAGAGTAGTAACTCTGGCTTTTTTATTCCGGCAAATCTCCAAGACTGATAGTTAACTGCAGTCTCCACTAGTCACCAAGGGCTTTATCAAACCCTCCTTCATTTTCAAACCCTCTGACAAGCCTAACGAGGTACCGAGCCACTAAAACAAGCAGGCTGATGCACGCACCCCCAAACGTGAAGTGACAAGGCTCAGCAGACAGAGTGGGGATACAGGATATCTGCGGGATTTCAGGCACGAGCCCCAATACTCAACCCCCCCCCTCCAAGGCTTCAAAGGAAGAAAGGCGCCACGACTTAGAGCTGTCCTCCCCTCTCCCCAACCGAGCCTGCCTTCTCCTCTTAGCTGATCCCCGTTTCCTGGCATGACTAATCTTCCGGACAGATTAAATAAAATAAATAGACCAGTTGTGCTTTTCATTTCTCCTTTTTTTTTCCTCTCTCTTCTTTCCATCTTGAACAAAGGACTCCACTGACATCACTGGGATCGGGGAGCGGGCGAGATTACAGCCAACTACAACTGTTTAAGCTTACTCAAGAAAGGCAGACTTGAAAGATCCTCTGCATGCATGCATGTTTTACTTCACATGAAACAGAGATTCTCAGTCGTCACAAATCAAGTACTACACACATGTACATCTACGTACCAGGTACATATTGAGCAGCAGTGTGTTATTCAAACATGTACATGTGCATTTACAACAAACAGTGATCAAGAGGATGAACTTTTCCTTATTCAGCAAGACCAACAAAATGAAGCAACGGCCGTGTCCGAAACGGGCTTCCAGAGCAAGGGCTAGGTCCATAGTCTACGCATCTCCACACATTTCCAATGGAGGGAAGACCTAGACCTAGCTCTGGACAACAGATTCGGAAGCAGCCAACCTCTGACCAAAACACACCAACCGTACACGTACAGTTTGCAGTAACCAAGCGAGGACAAACCGCATGATTCCTCTTTCTGCCCAGAATCCACGCCCGACACGGTGTCCGCATAAAATGCCAGTCAATATTGTTTGCATCTTCTCCTCTTTTTTACAGATTTCCCTTTCACTTGACGTAACACAATGGCAACGTTTCACAGAAAAAGACAGGGAGTTACATGTTTCTGGCATTACCACTCTGTGACACTGCCACTGCACATGTACGGCTTTTTTTACTACACTCATATTCTAAATTTTCATTTTGGTGGGTTTTGTACAAGTTCAACAATACGTTCTGTCCACTTGCTCACACTCCTGAGTAGGCCTGCATGCACATTGAGATAAATGTAGACAAAAACTGTGACCAAAATTGCGGCCAAAAAAATTTAACCGGACTAAGAAAGGGCAGTTTACAGGCAAGAGCACATGGACGGTTGATAAAAAATACTCTAGTGCAAGATCGAGGATTTAAGATGTTTAAAAAGGAATCATACTGTACAAACAGTGCTTGGAATTTAATTGATGGCAGTACACACGAGTCAAAGTTTAAAGCCCACACAGGGCGGAAACTCTGAGGAGTCATGAAGAATTTCCCACGCCATGCCGCACAGGAAAGAGTGGTGCAGTAAAGGGCAAATAAATAAATGGCTGACGAGATTTCCTCAGCATGAAATTCCGGCCGTAAAAAAAAAAAAAATGAGGGAGAGATTATGACATATACTAACAATGACGAGCCGTGGGAATAAGAACATTACAGCATGCGTGTCTGCACTGTTTACGTTTGGATGTACCACACCGGAGATGTTTTCTGAGGTTGAATAAAGCTGTTTCTCCCTATGATTCACGGGGACAGGCACTGGCAACAATGAAATGAGGCCAAAGTCTGTTTAACTGTTTTTTAAAAAAAAACCAGAGAAGTGCAAGAAACATAATCTAATCGTACCACTGAATTTGCAGGAACATGACCAATTCTGTGTCAAATTCACGAAACTTGACTCGCAACTCAGGGAGCATTTTGCAGCTCCGAGAACGCGTGCAGATGCACGCTCGTGCCCTAGATGCGTTCCTAGATTGGCCACATGAAAAACCCAGTTCTGTCAGGTGTGACCTCCTTCTGACCAGATCAGCCTCGAGCAAAGCAGTTCCTGGGCTATGTTCAGTTCCCAAGCCGGGTAGTGAAATAAAATCAATATGCCATCAGATACGCTGAATTTTCATAAGGTGCTAGAGGGAACCAAAAAGAGGCGCAATCGCTGGAATAATCACTCATGAGGAAAAAGTTTAAGCATGGTAAAAATCATCTCGTTTGGTCAAAGGGCAACAAGTTTTATTTTTTTTAGTTGATTGTGTTCCGACATCACACGATCGCTTGCTTCTTTGGGAAGTTAATGTGACTGACTGTGACTCTTGAACTTTATGCAAGGGGCTCTAAATAAATAAGCATGTACCTGACATTTTTGGTTATCGCTGAGCGTCTCTGTACTGTAAACAACCGTCCTGGGGCAATCAAGGACTTGGCCTAATTGACCCAAAACTACTCACTAAAGCTAGCAACATTTCTAGTGTTATTTTTTTCTCTTAAAGTGGTCTTGCGAGACTGATTAAATAAAAGGCAGGTGTTGCAAAACATTAAAGGTCATGACACAAAACGTTCAGATTTTTTTCCCAAAGTTCTGCTTTAAAATTTTAGCCATCAAGACCAAATCTTTAAAACACAAAAATATCCTTAGTTGTGGGCTGAGCGATCATGAACGATGTGACTGTCATCAACTCTGACCATGCAAAATCTTTTAAACTGCATCAATTTTAGAATTGAGAAGGGTAGAACACAACACAGATCTATACATACGGTTTTGTTACATGGGGCTTCGTACTCTTGGAGATTGTTACCCGAAAAGTGTGATGGTGGTTTCACTTATTACACCAACATGATTCAAGGACCCATCCAAATTTCAGAAGGCTGCCTTCTCCTTTTTTCACTTCCTCACTTTTTTTTCCATTCTTTACAGTCATAATGGGGAATGCACAGAAAGAAGTTCCATCATGCAGCGTTTCATGAGTCTAATAACTCTTGAGCCACCAACTGCCAATATCATCAATCACTTCTGCGACCCCCTCCTCCAATCTTCGACAAAAAATCATCTGTCAAGTTGGAGGTGTACCATCCACCCATCACCATCATCATCTTGTCGCGGGCGTCCGTCACACCATGACAAATGCCGGCTTTTGTGCCAAATGGGGGAGGCCGACGAGCACTCCGGGGGGGAAAAAAAAGGAATAAACACGGCCAGCTGTCACCACCCTAGGCCTCGCACGGAAGAGCATAATCCACACTGTGCTCGTGTCTAGACTGTTCAAATATTAAAAACTGCAAGGCAAGAACAGGGCAGGTGCGCATGCTATGAAACTGCTGTTTGTTTGTGCTTAATGAAGCCGTACAACTGCATTACAGCATGTGCAAGTAAGTCTCTGATATCACTTTGATGAAATATACATGTTATAAACAGCCTCTGTAACAACCCTATCCGATGTCATATCATTTGACATCCATGGTCACGTTAGAATGATAAAATATGTTAACACTTTTCTAAACCCATTGTTTGGGCTCTGTAAATTTGTTAACAAAGGGGATTCCTTTTTTAACCATCATGGAACGATCTCTGATATCAAGAAAACACTAATAATGTCACTGCAGCATTTTCGTTTGCGTTGTCGGCTCTCAATCGGCCACTGGGAGTGGGGGAATAGGCATTGTGGACAGAAACAATTCCACACGATCCGCAACATTTCTTTTTGGCAAGGAGACAAGTGATAGACTGAATGCTCAAACAGGTATTCATACTGAACATATTCAAACCAACTGGAGAGGAATGACTCTTCCATCTATGATGCGACAAGTCATTTGAAAATTTTGTAAAATCACAGATATTTCGTGATTTTGTGGACAAACTTTGGGAAGAAGCAGGCAGTATCTTGAAATTTGAAAACAAAATATTTCTTCAACGTGTTACATATTTGTATTGCAAGTCTACTACAGGGAACATACATTTAAGGTACTGTGATAATTCTTACTTATTTTTACATCAAGCAACAGGATGGGAATAGGATGGAATGCATACAACTTGATTGATGTGATGTTGAAGTCCACGGTTGAGCAAAGTATTGTAAAACATTGTTTATAGAACTCCAGCACCTGGAAAAAAACGAAATGTTGTTAAGTTGGTTACTTACATGCTTTCTCTTGAATCGACTGATAAAGTCGAATTTGGCCTTCATGTCATCCAGGGCTGCCTGGTGTTTCTTGTCGCCGTCCTGGTCCTTCGACACCAGCAAGTAACTCCTCCAATTGGCCGAATCAAAGCCCCAGTGACAGGTACGATTTTCCTTGCCCCTGTGCGAGTGCATGACGAACTTCTGTGGGGTGAAAACGTACTGGCACTCACAGCACTCAATGCAGGGGGCGTGGGGAGTCGCATACAAGTCCGGGATGAACACCCCCCTGCACTTGCCAAAGCACTCGTGATAAACGGGGAAGCAGTTTTCTCGGAGTTGTTCCCCACGTTTGCTGCGTGGGGAGGGGAGAGCGTACTGCTTGTCATCCACTAGGCCGTAGAGAAGTGCGTTGCACAGTCTCTCAGCGTCTGTCTTGGTGATGAGGCCACATGACGGGGCGCTGGCGGGCAGGATACCGGTGATCTTCAGTATCTCCAGCTGCTCAGGGCTGCATCGCGAGCAGTAAATATGCAAATCCTCACACACAGCATTAATCTGTTGCAGGCTGAAGTCACGCAGGACGCTGTTGAGGATCTGGGGGAGGCAGAGCCGCTTCTCCCCGCCCACAATGAAGCAGGAGATAGTTTCGCTCTCCAGCACTGTCTCGCACTTCTCGCCTGAGGACTGGTCGATCGGGGTGAACACCGGCATCTGCTGGATCGGGAACGGCGGTGGGTGCAGCAGCGGGTCGAAATCCAGGTACTTGGCGGCCGATTTCTTGGGCGGCTGGGCTGTAGTTGTGGCCGGGGTGGCGGTAGGGCCGGCCATGAGCGCCTCTGCGGGCTTGCTCAAGGCCACACCAAGGCTAGCCACGCTGCGTGCGTCCGAAGACGCAGCGGGAGACGGCAAGGCAGTCACCGAGTCCAGTCCCGCTAGTTTCCTCGCGATGGCCAGTGCCTCGCTGCCCGCTGCCCAACGGGCACTGTAACTGCTAGGTCCGCCTAAACTCGACATGGCTACAGTCTGGTAACTCTTGAGAACCTTGTCCAGATTATGCTTAAAAGCTTGCGACTCCATTTGCTCCATAATAGTCACAGAAGGAGTATGAACACGGTGGATAACTCAGCACTTCGTTTCCCATTCGAGAACTCGTTTTGTGTACACGTTCATTACACACACGGCCACACGCTAGCGTTGTTGAGTCTGTTCTGATATTATATGTTGCGTCTGTCACTTATCTCATAGACATAACACGCATAGCCCAATCTCGTCTGGCATGTCCAAATTTCTTGTCTACGGCTGGACTAACACATGTACATAAGGGAAATGTGCGAAGCCGCTAGCTGGTGGCTGACATAAGTGTACGTGCTATTTCGAGCCATAGCCAAAAAAATCGAACAAATACCCCAGAGACAAAGCGCCCAACAGACATTACCGCAATAGAGAGAATTTGCTACCAGAATAGCTCAAGTGTGCGATTTCACCTCAAACCCAGCCCGCCGTCTGACTGGCGCTGTTGACTATATGCAAATCCCTTTTCTGAGGATAAAAAAACCCACGTCTCGTCTGCGCCGCGCCGCCGACTGCCTGTAACGGCTGTTTACTGACCTCAGGGCTGCACAGTTTTGAGATGTTGTTTCTCGTGCTTTGCTAAAGTCAATATTGCCCGAGTGAAACAAATTGATGACACGAGGTGCTCTAATTCCCTTGTCTTTTTTATGATGGTTGTTGTTGGGTAATCTTGGAAACGAAGGGGGATTTCGGTGGAACTCCACATACCGTCATGATGATACGCAGGTGGATGGAGAAAATAAAAACAGTACAATAATCCATCTAAAATAAAGGCAGATCTTGATCTCGAGGCACTTCCATATGAGAAGAGCTTATATGTAATTATATTTAGTAATCACAATTCGACAGCAGCAGTACGTCTGGAGTTATTCAAGTAGACCAGTCATCAGTACTTGAATTCTCGATTCAATGTGACACAAATAATTTGAGTTTTTGTTCGTTTGTTTGTTTGTTTGTTTAATCTTTTCTTCAATCTTTAGATCACCCCAACAACGGGAGAAATGGTTTCACGTAGACTCCATCTATAGCTACCAAACAAAGAGTAACATTTATTCTTTTGAGCGAGCCAAACAAATCAGTCGGCCTCGGTCGGTCGCCCTCTCTCCGCGCTTCGACAACAGGCGGATGTACGTCATTTGAAGCAACCATTTTAAGGAGAGGGGTTGCAAGGTCGTCTGAAATAATGGCAAACGGAGATGGAAAATCCAGACTCTTTACTGCAGTGGGAATAACTATAGTCACGATGACGGGCTGATTTGATATTAGTTGGTTCGTGTAATTTCAGCTGTGCGACTTTTTGTTATGACGACATGTGGGTACAATGACAACCCTCCTCGCTAGCGAATAAAAAAGGGGTGTTATTTCCATGCTTTCTTCGAAAATAAGGTCGCTATTGCTAAGATGTCATCGAGGTAATGAACTCTACACGTTTGGGAGTTTCTGTTTAAACAGTTGTGAGAAAAAAAAAGTATGCTCATTTGCCTGAACAAAATCCGAGATTTTGCCAAACCCTGGTACTCAGATAGATTTAACTCTGAGATTTCTTCCCAGAACGACATCACAGTTTTTATGAACAAGTATAAAACTCCCAAAGGCGCCAAAATTCCCCCATTAATAACATTAAGATGAAAACTGAAAAACAAAAATGTTAAACGGCACACAATAACATTATTCAAATAGCTAGGGCGGTCCTTGCATCGGTCCCCTAAAGCCATTTACAAGCTCATGTGTCTGCAGCTACCTCGGAGCCATTGGCGCCCAAAGAATTATTATCATATCCAATGATGTTATTTCCAATTGACGCCCAGCAAGCTTTCACCGGCAAAACAGTACACTAAATAAGTCTGTGATATGTAGAAAAAGGTTGGCGTCCACTTTTAGCACTGTCCATAATTGGCTTATGTCACCCGAGGATATATTCGTATTCAGGCGCAATTGTCTATATTAATATCAACCCGTACTTTGCAAAGGAAAGCGAGTAAAACGTACATGTACAATGTATGTGGGTATATGAAATGCATGTATTTCTGTCTACACCTACCCTGTTCTTATTTGTCTATGGCTTGTGTCGTTAAATTTTACCGACTAAGCTACTTGGTAACGACCTTAAAAGTAAATAAAAGCATGATGTGAAATGAACGGGGGAGACTGATTCTGAAGAAGGGTTTGAATATTGAGAGGGAAAATAACATTACCAATTGACCAGAACTTATTAAAATTAAAAAAAAAAACGTCTGTTATGTAAAAATTAATGTGTCATCCCTACAGGTGCACGTCAGTGTTCCCATGTTTTGTTTTTGTTTGTTTGTTTTTTTGTGTGTTTTTGTTTTTTGTTTCTTTTACATGAGAGAACGTGAGTATAAACTCATCTTTCTTGTGGTCCGTCGTTGGTTCCCAGACGCCAGGACCCACCTAATGGATGGAGCGAACCAGCGTTTGAGTTCACTGATCGAGATTTGTGAAACAAACACTCTAATATGCCCTTCATGAAGACAAGGTCACATGATTTGACGCGTCTTTTTTACCATTATTATGATCATCAAAGTTCACCCATCATACCCTTGAATGTGCATCTATTACTGTTTGAATGCAAGCTTCAGCGTCCCTATCATTTTAACTTGACATTAATTTGACATCACCACTATAATCACTCCTAAAGACACCATTGCCAACATGTCATTAATTAAACACTAGCATTTGACTCAAGCAAGACAGACCCGTCGAGGCGACAGACCAGTATGGGAAGTCAACCAAAGTACTAACCACCGTCCCCTCTGGATTAAATCCGACCATTTTTGTGTCACATCAAGGCCTGCATGACATTGTGCTTTCGAAGATCTCGCGAACCTGACCCATATCCAACAATTTTTCAGGTTCTTAACTAACCTTGAATGCTATTCCCCCCGCACGATCCCCAATTCATATCTGGGAAAAGATTTCCTAGACAACCGTTCCACCGAACCGGTCACGTTTGTCTGCACCGCTGAGCCACTTGATGACGTCACTGCGATAGATTTCTTTCTTTTCTCTCATGTATTGGCCGTGGAGTGTTGAAGGCCCAATATTATGTTACCATGGCAACCCAAATGGACGGATCCTGCCTTTTGGGCATTCTAACGAACAAGGTTTTTCTCTTCATTTTCGCAAAAATTTAGAGCTAACATGAACAATGGAATAGATTATTATTTTGATGTCAAAGTTAGTTTCAACAATTTCACTTGCCTTATTTTTTTATATTTGCCAAAAGATTTTTGTATTTTGTGACTTTAAATAAAATATCCTTACTTGGTTTTATATCAATTACACCAATGCATGTGACGCTTTGTGGTCTCATTTTCCTCGGAAACTTGAAGGCCATGATTTGGGCACGATACTTTATAATCCGTATAATATAATTTATTTCACGTTAAATAACTGAAGACCATTTTCCTGATCAAGTTAGAATATCCTCAAGGCATGAACGGTTATACGGCTTTCCCACAATGTGAGGAAATAATCTCCAAGGAGAAAATAACACTACGCTTCGCACGCAATGGGCAACTTGAAACAAACCAAAACGCATGACGTTCAGAACAGTCTAGCAAGCAGAAGTACACTGTCATTCGACCGACTGTTCCCCTGCACGGTTGTGTTGATGAGGAAAACTCTACAACATCATGTTCTTTCCCATGAAATCTATGCTTTGGGTTAATCGGAAATCCAGGCATCCCGTCATAATAATGCTTGGTTCATGGTTTTTTTATTCGTCCAGTCGATGAAATACACCCAAGTTAATGCAGAGGCCAGCCTTGATGGCGCCAAGTGGTGGTCGGCCAAGAGCTGGATTCGCTCACGCTCATTTATGTTTCCAGGAGGAACTGCGTACTTTGAAGGGGGGTAGCGTAAATTCAAGGCCAACATTCGAATTGTCCATTTTCCTCGAACGGTCCTTTTGTGTCGGGCGTGCGTGCGTGCGCTCGAATGAAAGTACAAACTGGAGAACACACGTTTCACTTGGAACACAGACGGCTTTCGCTCAGAGTACATGCAGGGCCGGGTTTTGAGATTTACTCATAACTAAACGGTTTCCTTTCATCTGAAGAACACAATTTTAATGACGAAGGGATGACGAATGACGAAGGGTTACGTAACAAGAAAGCCGCCATTTTCGAAGAGTTCTGCGCACCCACCCACCCACCCCCCCCCCGCGGATCTTTTTCATAACAGCACCTTACCTAACTATTATAGGCCTAAATAGCCCCTTGGTGCAAAATATTACTGTTAGGACCAAATCGAACCCGAAGGACATCGGGCTAGATCGAATTTTACAGATGTTTTGATATAGGCCTATGCTGAGCATAATCAGACACCCAGTCCCAAGTGTCACCGTAATAGTGAGAATGGTTCTCTATAGTTAACTGTCGCTTAGCATGTATGAATCATAAAGCGGCTGAGCCCCGACCGAAATTCAAAGCCAATAAACCCACCGTGACGCGCCCCGTTCTCGCATCTCAGCTCAGAAAGATATCGCTCGGTCATCAGTCGACAGTCATCATTTCCCTACATGAAGCTGTTCAAAATTATGGTCCGGTTACAACATCTATCTCAGCTTTCGCATAAACTCTGTTCCTGAGGTGGTTACACCTGATGCTTTACTTGAAATTTTTTTTTACCATAAATGTACTTTTCTTCCTCTCAAATAATGAAGATTTTCTAAACAGTTTTTGTTGCATTCTCAAGGCATTCACCACCCCCATTCTGAAATCTTCAAAAATGGTTTTTCAAAACAGAATTAGAATTGAAGAAATCAGGTGACAAAGTCTACTGACAAATGCATTAAAATGTAAATTGCTTTTATTTATGAAGAGCCAAATGCAGATATGTAGTTTTACCGTAAGCAAGACCCGAGGTAGAGAAAATACGGCAATATTGAGTGACACAGAAGTTTCATGGGCTATACTCTTTTTCGTTAATGTTTGCACTCATGCATATGAAAATAAAGAGACTACGACTTCTTTCTTAAATCTACATTTTTTGTTTTGCCTTTGTGTTGTGTGGGCAAAGTCATAATGGTGCCGAAGAAACAGATGTTTGTGGCATCGCTTGACTGAACATTCCTGCAATAACATTTTTTTCGGCACGAGACAATGACTATATAGGTTTGAAACAGATGTTCGAGGTTCCAACGGTTGTAATTTATTTCAAAATGCTGAAACTGCGGGAAAACGGGCGCACGCGCTACCAACAGTCCGGTGAACGGAGATATTCAAACACATAATAATTATTGAGTGTGAGATTCATTCCAGTAACTGTGGAGAGCTGACTGACGGTCTGACAGAGGGCGCCCTTTAATATTGAGATGTTGTCTACTGCGGTGGTCAGACGAAGAAGAGGTCAAGCGGTTTTCCTTCGATGAAGAAGGGTTGATTCAATATGGAATCCACCGGCGTGTGGCTTTTACCCTCCCAAGTCTCATGGGAGAAATGGCGTCGCGATGCCGCTGTCTGACCCGGGCCCACAGCTACCTGACTCTTTCATCTCCAGCGGTAAAGACAAGAAATTTTCCATCCACCGACTAAACCAAACTTTTCCCTCTACTTTTTTTATGACACAAGCCCCGGACGTGACTCACAGAATAGACCACGGCATAAAATGTGGTCTTCATTAAGAAATAAATATGTGTAATTTATGTGGGGGTTATGCAGCGTGGGTCGGGAACAGACTTCGCGTGTGTCGACTTGCGAGACTCGGGGATTGCATGCGGCACCGAAGAGGAGACGCCCGTGTCGCCTGGCGAGGACGCGTGAAGGGGAGAAGGGAACTGACCCGGTCCCCCGGTATTCGAACTTGTTGGGTAATTATGACTTGAGGAAAGGGGTACGATATTCTATAGCAGGTGTTTGGGAAAGGAAGCTTAGAGGATGGCTGTATTATGAAGGGATTAACACGTAAATAACCAATTTGGGATTATTGTCTCAAAGTGTGGGCGGTTGACCTAAAAAACAAACAACCTAAAAACTAACGCCGGCAAAAATGTACAACTGTCAAATTGTATTACACACCATACAAGTCACAGGACTGTGTGCCGTTGGGATATAAACACGAACATTGAACACCCAAAGGTATCATACACCATGGAGGAATAAATTTATTCCACCATGCATACGCGTAGTTATACTCATTTATACATGTATAAATAATAAAGGCGCTGATAGCTTAATTTGTTGTGTTCAGATAGTGAAAATCTGTTCAAGGCATGTCGAAAGAAATAATGAAGCCTTTTGCGAGTTAAATTTGAATAAAATCTGGTACACTGAGTGCTTTAACTCCACGCGAACATAACAATTTGAATTCTCTATACTGATGGCACCGTTGCTATACCTCGTGATTTGTGTCAAGCTTTTGCTTAGCTACATAAGAGACGCCTTGCACCAATACACTGTTTTCAATGGATAAGAAGGGCACCAAGGAACCAGTCCATTCCAGAGATGGTGGTCGCTATGCAAAAGCTTACCCCGAATCACGAGGTAAAAGCAACAGTGTCTTTAGTGCGTGGCATTCAAATTGTTGTGTTTATGCGCGATCAGATAACTCAGTGTACCGGATTTTATTCAAATTTAACTTTCAAAGGGCTTTTTAACACACGCAGATCAAAGGGGGACCAGAAGAAATGTCCAGTCTCGATTTCATTCTTTCTCTAAAATATCGAAATTGTTTCGGTACTTTCGTTGTCGGTGTTTCTAAATCATATGCAGCAAGGTATGAGACGGAGAGAACCCCCTTGCTTTGTGTTGGTCATTGTCTCAAGGGAATCTGGGGAATTCCTTTCAGACATCTTGGGGGGGATGTGTTAAGTAACAATANTTCTAAATGTGCCTCGTGCAAACGTTAGGCTTTTTATTTCGCGCACGGTTAAGTTACGGGTATCCGCTTCCTAACACAGATCAGGCATGTGGCCTAGTGGTTAGGGTTTGTAGCTTCTGATCAGAGGGTCAGGGGTTCAAATCCAGCTGATGGCAGTATGTTGTGATCCTGGGCAAGTCACTTTACCCGTATGTGCCTCTCTCCACCCAGGAGTAAATGGGTGCCTGTGAGGGGCAGACACGGTTATGTTTAGCCGTTTGTACCCAAAATGGCTCCATTAGGCTAGCATATTCCCCAGGGAGCTGAGATGGTTTCAGGAATGTTAAAAGATGTGTGAGCCCAATGTGCAGGGATAATAATGGTCCTTTGAAACGTTGTGGAAAGCACATTAGAAATGTTGTAACTCCTAATTATGGAAACATATCCGGGTTGCACAATGAGCATATTAGTGATCATTTCAGAGTACTGGCATATTAGTGACCAGTACTCTGAAATGATCACTAATACGGATTTTAAAAAGAGTTTATCTTTGCATGCACCGCGAAATCTAACCCTGCGGGGGCTGACCGCCGCATTCCCCGGCAAGCGGCGCGGCGAAGTCTGGCCGCCCGTAGTGAGTGGCGTCTAGACCGGAACGTCATCTATAAGGCGGGCTTCTCGGAAAATCCGGCCACTGGCCCCTAAACAACCAACGAGGATTTTCGTTTCTTTTCCCCCCTTGACTAGTTCCATTTGCCTCAGACAGACGGGGGTATATAACCATTATGAATTTATATTGATTGCATTATTAAAAGCCACCGCGTCTACATAGCGCTGGAGCGAGACTGGAACCCGACGGATGTTTCATGCGTCTTTCCTCTTCTTTGATGCCGATATCGACATCGCGCGCTCTCATGCAAAATCAAATAATCTCTTGTGAATGAATTATACATGATGGCATCGAAAAATATCTTCAGTTAAAAACAAAAATGCACTTAAACCAATTACTTTAATAGGCCGGGTGTGGCGAGCGCATCTGTAACCATTTTAAAAATATGTATCGGGAACAAATCTTTATGATTAATTTTAACATTGAAAACGCTAACAATGTAATTCAGTATTCTGACCTATATATATGTCAAGACATAAGTGAAGCATAAACTAGCAAGCCGGCCAGAATTGTCCGAATGATTACTTAGCAGCGAAGGCTGTCATTATTATAGGGGGCACTTCATTTGAGCCGTGGAATTGTTCTACCGTCTGATTTCAGTCGTCACATGGTCGCGTTTGGATATCTCACATCGTCGCAAAAAGCTCCCTCTGGGATTCCTGCTGCGTCGAAAATGTCGAATTTGTCGTCATCCTAACAACCACGCTGCGCCTGCGTGAGACACCCTTACCTGCCTCTTAATACTCGACGACAGAACAGAGAGCCAAGGCTTAGCGGTCATTGACGTCATCGGGCTCCGACTATCCTAGTCGAGAGGGCTTTTAGTTCAATGCCCCGTTTCCTGAGGTCATTTGGCTATCTATACGGCGCTTGCGCCCGGTTCTAATAAACGCGATTATTACATAGCCTAAAAATATAGGACGACGAATCTCTTGGATCTATTCTTGCCGAAGAGAATTCACAATCAGTCTAGGCTCAGAGAGGCTTGATTTGATAAAAGTTACTTTTGTAAAGTGACCGAATGATCAATGTTCTATTAATTTAACGTAAATGGATAAAATAGCCTAAGTGAAATGGTGATATGATTAACAAGCAACGTTTTGCCGAGACGAACAACCATCCCAAACGCCATGCAACCAGTATTATGGCCAATGATCTGATATTTTGTAGTTATTTATTGCTATTCACGTGTGTGATAACTCAATCATTGCTTGTACAGAACTCCTTTAATTAATGTAAGGTCAAAAAGCAAAACACTAGGAATTCGGGTACCATGGGCAAGTCCGACACACCGTCGTCGCCAATGGTGGATGGCTAGACAATCTAGTCGACCATTTGGAACCAGCCGGGCCCTGGGGCATCGTCGCACCGCTGGTTATCAATAGCCAGTTTCATTTATCATTACGGAGGGAACCATTCATATGTCTTTTAGTCTTGAATATAATTATACGTGCTTTTATTGACCACGTACGTCACAAGAGTTGCATCCCACGGCAAAGTGTGACAATGAAAGTTTAAACTAAAGATGATAAAGCCAGAGTCGTTCGAATGGGACTGTATTGCGCGTGCGCATTGTTAATAAAAGCAATTAACTGTATTGACGACAAATAATAATTGCCCCGTAGTGTTCCCGTACGACGTGTTAACCAGGGCAACTTAAACCGCAACATTCGCCATTGCAACACTACTAACACTTCGTCACAACTCATGTTTTCACTTATAACGAACTACATAATTTACGAACTCCTTTTCCCGCGGTAGCTGGAGCCTCGTATGTCGAGACAAGCATCAACGTTTCGGGCAGGCGCGTCTCTAGCTCTACGGTCATCTTCACGCGAATCTCTCGAATGGTTCACATCCTGTGTATCTTCTCGGAACAGGTCACGATACATCCGGGCGGAAGGCGCGTCCAATCTAAGCCAATTAGCGGCCTGGGCTCTAGACCCGGCAGCCGGGGGTATGAGAGTGATCACTGTAGGTAGGGATGGCTCAGATCTGGTCAGGATAAGGGAAAAAATCTTCGCGAGATGCCACGCGCGGGAGGCTTCCGATGATGAAGCGACGTGGTGTCTTGTAATAAACTGGAGAAAAAAAAGGCCACGAGTGGAGTTGCCAAGACTATTTCTTTCCGAGGGGATGCCCGAAGTCATTGATCATTGATCAGATTTTTGATGACGAGTTGGTTTCGACAAGTCGAGGAAACGGAGAGGCGGGATTTGAAGGATGTAGGGAAGTTGACTAATGGATAGGCTCAGGTCCTAAAAAGGTGGTGAGGGTTAGGAGTTTTGAATTATGATTGAGATGTATCATTCAGGAAGAGAGCGAGACGGAATGACGTGGTGATGTAACTGAAAAGGCCAGAGGAATTAACCAGGTGATTGGAGTGGTGATTGTGATGAAGCTGATGCTGTAAGCGGTCGTAAGGATGACCGGCGATCGCGAAGGTGATATCGGACAGTGGAGAACATTCCGAGTATTGAGAGGCGTTGATAACGGTGACAACTCACACCATGCACGTGTGATCATAAATGGTAGTTCTAAGTTTGGGGTTTTGGAGTTATTCAACTGAACTGTGACCAAAACTTTCTTTTGTCATTGTTCACCCTGTTACTTATGATTGGACTTGTTAATGGACTTGTGAAGGGACTTGACTCCAACTCTGGGAAATGGCAACGGTTTTAACGACAGGGTCGATTGCACTTCTGCCGTTGACAACGACTGGGATGCTGACTACACTGATTTCTGTCTTAATGGCGATGACAATACGAAAATGACAGTCGTGTCAGTCTTGATAAGGATAAAAATGATGACAGGTATGACGATGCCAGTGACGAAAATCACAATAAAGAAAAAGGAGTGAAATCAAACACAGGCTTTATTTGACGCCACCGTTACTTTTATTCACGTTCATGACTATATACAAATTAGCGTGGGATTTTTTTTTTTACATTTTCTTCCACTGCGCAAACTTAACCACGCAGGTTCGTTGCACAGTTCTCAACAAACTAACTGACCTACTGCAAGTTGGCTTTACCTGCACAGTGGCTGGTATCCTTCTCCAACCGCAATCTCTGGAAAGCGCTGGCACCCAAAACGCGTGCACCAGCGGAATATTTCAGACTGCACAGCGCCCTCTTTTGCTCAATGTGGACCCACAACGGGGCCTTCGCTTTGGATGGAAAGAAATTTCAACAATGTTTTACTCATACAGTCAAAATGCGTTTTCTGTAGGTTTCATGAAAGAATATAGAAATTAAAATTTTTGAAGAAATTATACAACAAAGTTACTTATGCTGCATATCAAACATAATTATATTCACTGTGGTAATATTATGGTAACTTACTTTTTCCCACCAAAAATTTCAGTTATATTTTATACCAATAGCGAAGCGACATAAATTAATGTCAATTCGCCAGATTGACTTTCAAATTTCTTAGAAACTTGATCAACTACAGAAAGAAATGGTTCTTATGCGCAACTGTTAAAAACTGAAACAAATAAAAAAGTTTCATCACTGGGTATATTTCGCGAGGGCTCATATGAATACTGTTTCTGTATATCTTATCTAGTAAATCCTGACGACAAAATATTCATCTATACTGACGCCAAATTTTCATCAGCTACTGTATGTCACATGTCAATATATTACATCTGAATATAGTGCCTCTTGGACAAGTGGCAGATCATATGTAATTATGTGAAAAGTATATCTACTGCGATCTTAAAATATACATTTCAATCAATTACAAGTAATTACACTGAAGTACGTGAACAATTGACGGTTAAAAACATCACGTAGTCTCAGTCACTCAACATAAGCGACACCTAGTATCTCGCTTAAGGGCTAGGCTTAAGATCGTACATGTGCGTCATTAGCCAATGGCTACGTTAATATAAAGGCTCATGTCATGTATGAAACAATGATACACGTGGCTGTGGCTACGCCAGCCTCTACTTCTACGATGTACATGTACATGGAGTTTCTGCTTTGATTAATTGTGGACACAATAAACGGCTGCTGCCGTGGCAGAGTTATCCCTTTGGCAGCCAAGAAAGAATCGTAAATTCCCACTGTGAGTTGAACTATCAAATTCCTTCACTTGAATAAGTACAGGAAGGGTACATGCAGCGCTAGCGAAAGGGTTAACGGCTGATCTGTACAGTGCAGAGTTGAGTCAGCGTCAGATTTTGGCAACAACATGGCTGTTCATAATGTGCACAGTAAAGCGTGCAGCTGTATAACCAACTGTCCGTGTGGACTCACACACAATACCTACCAGTCTGTTTTAAACCATGGTACCACTCATGTCGTAACGTTCTCTATACACGACAGGAAAAAAGACGCAAGACACAGTGGTTTGGTGACTCTGACTTTCGATTTAGGGTGTGTAAATTCGATTTTTTTGGGGGGGGGAAGTATACTGAAAAGATCTAAGTACGGACAGAAACTACTCGAATCTGAGCCTATGTTCTTTTGTTAATGCACTTTTAAAGGTTACTAATCCTACGCGACATTCGAAGTTCTCCCCCAACATATATTTTGTGCTAGTCTTGGTGCAAGACGCTTCTCTTTGTAATGGAGTTTCACTTACGGCCGAAATACAGTAATGTCGAGTCATGCACGAACCGCAATCACGGTTTCGACGGTGACAGCGGCTTGTGTGGGATCGACAGTGCAGCCTTTCGGCAATGAGTTGCAATCCAGCGGCGTTTGCAACAAGGCTACATCTTGGTGCTCGATGTTGATTCCTATATAAACCATATTTCAGTACGCTTCTGGACTTGGATAAAAAGCAACGCTGTTCTTTGTCAACTGTATCAGCAAGGCTTTAACCCAAGCACTTTATCACTGCGCATCCTCATTCAGGGCAGTCTGGCGAACAAGGGGGTATGCTCATGCGTACTACTGCGCAACAAAATCCTGGCCCTCAGTGATGGCGCATTGTGCAAATTAGCTCTCTATCCACGTACAGTGGCCAACTTATTAAAAGAAAATTAGAAATCAGCAGGAAGTTTTTCTCTGGACGACTGAAATGCCAAGAGTTGTCCCACGATGAGTTTGAAGCACTTAAGTCGGGAAATTCAATTACAGCGGTGATGACCATTTCGCACCATTCCAGCCGCATCAGAAATCCTTGTAAGGAAGGATCCAATCAACTTGTTTTCAAACCCCAATCATGTGTTTGTACCAAAAAAAAAGAAGCCACGCCACATTAATTAAGTGATTTATCTTGTCATTGTATGTACAGTACATCACTTTATTCTGCTGACCCTGTCATATTCAAAACTTTTCCAGCTGCTACTTCGGTGAGACTCTTACCTGGTAAATGCTTGCTTACCCCTTGGTGCAATGCACGTGACCCAGTGGGAAAAAAGTAGGCGTGTGGCGCCCTCAAAAGGTCATACAACGGTTAATACACAATTGAGGTTTCTGACGCAGAGACAGTTTTAAATCATCTTGGCAACCAAGAGCCTCATTGAAAAGTCTAATTTCGCAGGGTCAAACATGTTCATGTCAAAGCGGCAGCGAATGAATTTTGTAGTCAATCATCTAATTCTTTTCAGCGGTAAACATGGTTTTCCTCAAATCAGTCATCGTAAGACTTGAGATCTTCCTGTTAATCATACTTATTTAACGACAGCAAAAGAATTTGAAAGCGGTGAGCTTCAAGTTGGTGAGTGATGCCAGGGTATGTCATCTGAGTTTCTGAATCAATGTATCAACCAACAGGAAAGAAAGGAATCCCCCCAAAAAATCTGAGAACAAATTCTTGCGCAAACAAATTATCATCCTCCTGTGTTATCAACACAAGAAAGTTTTAAATGGTAAGAATCGTGGAAATTGTGAGGGAAGGTGAGAAAGTCGCTCGGGCGACCTTGAGGCTCGAACCGAAGCTGCAGGAGCGTGTTAATCAATGTTTCCTCCCCGTGAGCTGAGGGGATGGGTGGGAGGAAAGACACCACTCCACGGGCCAGAGTGCTGCAACAAATCCCAGGAGAGTCGAGCCAAGACAGATAGAGCCGGGTGGAGACAAGCTGGCTCCACGGTAATGTGCTCCCCTCGTTGCCGACCTTGAGGAAGGAGAGTACGTACGTGAAGAGCACCGAGTTGAGGTTTCTTGGGGAAGATGTGCAAGAACTAAACTTGTGAAGTACAGACCTCGTGTTCAGAACCAACTCCAGGAATGGGAGAGGACGAGGATTATGGATTTGAAAACAGAGATTTGGAAAATAAAAAAGGAGCAGTTTCGGAAATCGTTTGCTTTAGGCGTTGACTGTAAGATGTGCAGGGTGTGATGACTTGAGAAGTCGCAGTTTTGTGCCGAGGATGGGTAGTGAAGAGAGCTTCATTTGATGACGATAATAAAATGTAAGACCTGCGTTACTGCGGAAGATTACACAGCAACCTAGGAGACGGGGAAAACACGAATGAGGTTGTTGTCATGGTGATGTTTTGCTAGACTTCAACACGTCTCGTTTAAAAGAAAGAGCTAGACCTTAAAAGTGGCGCGGTGTCACCGCTGCCGCTCCAAACGGTTGCTGGGACTAGCTCGAGTCTAGCGCGTCCCACAATTTAGCCGATTGAGTAACATCCTAATCACATTACAAAGTTTGGAAGGCAAGAGAAAAACAACTCTTGACGGCAGGAAACATGCAAGAAACTCCAGAAAAGGTTACGGACCCAGCACCACAAGAAATTCTACCCAGGCTACGACTGTGATAAGGAAAGCAGGAGACGAGAATCACTCATTGTTTAATCCCATAAAGAGAGGGGAATAAGATTGAGCAGAGGCTGTGAATGGTCCATACAATTAGAGCAACATCCTTCGACGGACAATGTGTCAGACCTGTTACCGGTGCCCGGCGCCCTTGGAGAGAAGTGCCCGCTGTAATGAGAGGAAGCAAGCCCGCACTTCGTTGATTTATCCAGATCGGTTAGCACATTAAAAATCCTGCCGCTGCTGCGCTCGCGATAACCGGAGCGTTGCAGGGTCACGCCTTAGATCGGATGGAAATGATCGTCGAATATGGATCATGGACCGATATGCGGCCGTCTAGCATTTGGGAATGCGACAGACAAGGGAGGGGAAAGGATGTATCAATTTTTGTTTAATATACATGAACAATAAAAGAGGAGTCAGAGGAGAACAGAAATCTCCTTTTTTTTGATACACTGCATTTTCACAGACTCCGAACGCTCCTCGGGCTCGACTTTACTGGTATATTGGTTTTACTAGGGACTCTGGGTTGCGCTAGCACTGCATGGTTTGAATAAGACACCTTTTTTCCGTGTGTGGGCAGCAGTTGGCGAGTTTAGACACGGCATACTCACAACTGATTTTTATCCGAATGCGCACAAAGCCAAAGCGTCTTCCCGCGGTTCATATCCCCGGGTTAAGGCATATGTTCGCTCCATGACGGTCCGCCCACCCATAGCCAGCAAACGTGCCCGCCCATACGTTGCGGTCATTGCAAACATAACTCATGTCTGGTTATTCTGGACGAACCGGCGAAGTATATGGAAAAAAACTACAACGTATAAATCAAATGTCGTCGGGGTAATCAAGTTTTCCGCTACAATCGTGACTCAATGCTCAGAATAAGTCATTTTTATCATTCATCTGGAGTTAAAAAATAGAACACTCCATAAAAAATCTGAGGGAATTAAAGTCAAGTTCTTGAACCGCTTGTGCTTAATTAGGAATTCCCTTATTTTTTTTCAACGGAGCTTGGCTTTCAGAGCAGACCTGCACTTATTAGACAGTACAGTGACTCCGCTAATTTGTCCTTCAGATGTTGCAAGCGATTAGCCCGAACGCCAAGTGATCTTACCGCGCGGGACGACGTCCTAATCCCGGTCCCTCGGACGCTTTTATCCCCCTGGACTTAAGAACCACGCCGGCAACCTTGTTAGCGTGCAACCTACATCTGTCACACCTGCCCCGATACTTAAAGGGTAGCCGCAATGCCTCCCCCCCCTTTATAAATAAAAACTTCCAAAAGTCCACTTTCGTGTCTCAGTTAACCTTATTTTCAATGTTTGTTTTACTACTTCAAAGGGGATTTTGCTGCCTTGTTTTCAGTTGATGACTGTTTTCACATTCATAAGCAAAACTGTAATGTCATCCCAGGAAGAGCACCTTAGTGTTGCATTGATATATATTCGAAACCCTTCATTTTTATTGTTGTACTGGCTTAAGTTTCCCCTTTTCTGATTCACTGCTGTACAATTAAATGTTTCAAATAAGAAAAGTCTGGATTCACAATTTTAACGGAAAAACCAACACACACGGACCACGTCTCCCCTGGATGACATAACAGTAACATAACACAAACAGTTGCCCAGGGAAGCATGGGCAATTTCAAATAATTAAAAAGTGCCCTTTCAATGCATTTAACCAAGCAGGGAAGGGAAAAATTCCTTGCAGCTACACTTCAAGGCGTTGAAAGAGGGTAAATTACAGGATCGTGCACAAGGGTTCGGGTGTCCCAGTGAACGAACAATTAAAGGTTGTCCAGCTGTCCATATCATTAATTCTTTGTAATAAAGTCATATTAAATGCACCTTCTGAGTCCCATGTAACCCTATTTTAAATAATCATTAGGTATTTTGACCGCACTTGAGTTCCTGTTTGTTTTACCTTCAGCTTGATATAAATCTGCATATTCATTAGCAAACGTGTAACGTCACTCCACGAAGAAACTTTTATTATTTATTTCACAACCAATATTTCCCAAGGATTTTATATATTTCTAGACTTTTTGAATTTCTTTCCTTTGGTGGTTGTTTCAGTTCAAGACAGGAGGTAAAGGTAAAGTTTCTCAACAATGTTTCCAATGAGCAAATATGGAAGAAAACGTGAACTTAAAATAGGATTTCCGAGGATACGAAACTGACCATTGTGAATACCCCAGACTGAGCGTGTGTTGCGCAATATATTAGAATGCTGTTCATACAGTCTCAACCACAAACAAGGAATGGCCGCTTTAAACACGTCCACCGCTGAATTAATAAGAAAAGGGTAAAAAATGAAGAAAACACAGAAAAGCTTGAAAATGGAGAAAAACACACAACATTTGCAGATACACTCGCGGACGGTTCAAATCACTACCGCGGGTAGGTAATTTCCCACCTGTTACGCATGTTTAAGCTCGGCATATCACACAAAATGGAAGGCACAGTTCATTGATACACTCTCCGTGATATAACATGGAGAACAGACGGCATCCCAGAACCCAAGTTGACGTAATGAATGATTTCCCGGCAGCTACCCCCCGTTACCAGCTTAAGAGATAGAACACACAGTAATAAAGACTCCAGTTGAATTAGGGTCGAGCTGTTCTTTTCTCGCCTTGGCCTGTGCGTTAGTCTCGGTGCAAGACGCTCCTGGTTGAAATGGCTCACGGCTCATCGCCAAAGGACACCGTTATCACAGGGCATGTAGTGGCTCTTCTGAGATTGCATTGTTTCGGCGATGACCTGTGATCCATTATAGGTTGCAGGCCAGAAAATAGACTCAAACTTGCCAGTGCCGACCAAATCGAGATTTGTAGCCTGCCAAATATGGGCGTTTCACAACAGTCCTCCACGAGTTTGTAGCGCGTTGGCCAATCACAATGCGCGAAATCTGTCAACCCAATGCGCGTCAGGAAAGGGTCGACAGAATCGCCCGAATTCTCTGCTATTTGAGCATTTTGTGGCGCGTGGAAGGGATGGTTGACTGAAAAGAAGGGTTGAAGCGACCAGCAGGACTATCAGCTTGTATTTCTGAAGAAAAATAACAAAACGGAGCCCTGCAATCGCTCTCTTTTCCAATGAAGTGCAGGCAATAATTTAAAAACAGCGACGGGATGCACAACATTTCTACCCCGAGGCCGTGAGAAATATCTTCAAAATCATTCGTAAACCCACTAAAAATTGAAAAGACAATGAAAGATATGGAGCTAGATTAAATTTTTTAATATGTGTCTTGAACATTTGAGAAGCTTGTGAGTGGTTCTCCTGCTTTTCTGACGTGTGGCTATCTGTCACTTCTGTCTATGGCAGCTTATTTGCTGGTGTGCAACGATTACTAAGTGTAGCGTCTTGCACGGAGACTAACAGCAAGTGCGCGCGCAAGCGTTTTTGGTCGTTGAGAACTTGAGCCGGGGATAAGTGAACAGGTGTTGGGACCAGGTAGGGTTAGATCTTTGGGATGGAACATGGATGGAGAGAATTCGGTTTCTTTTGTGAGCTTTTTGTCTGGGGAATGAATTAGGTTCCTCGGGTCTGGTTCCAAATGGCGGCAAGGCTGGAGACTCGTCTGAAACGATACAAGTGGCAAGACGCTTGAAGCACACTGTACGGTTCGCGTTGGCAATGTTTCGACAAAGGTTAACATTTTTTCGTTAATGTCTTTCACGCGCCAAAACGTAGCTTGTGAACGGATATGCAGGCTGTATCGCTGACCGAAATCAAAGAGCTGTCTCTTTTGGTCGTCAATCATTTTCAATCAGTGTTATCTCCGTTTGCAGTAAACAAGTGGGGAACTTACCAATCACTTTTTATTTTAAATGGAAACTGACTTTGTAGAATAAAACGTCAGACAAACCTTGAAATTGTATGCACGCGTGGAACCTATTCCCCTCACTGACAGGTAAAATCGGGCTTTTGAATTAAAGTCACAAATTGGTATGATATGAGCATTTAACAAACATTTCGGGTTCCAGGAGAGGCCGCACACAGCCAGAAATCTGTATCAAGCAAGGAATGAAATGTTCAATTTTGGACAATTGAAAGTACAATGTACGGGACGAGACAGCAGTTACATCAGCGACAGAAAGCTGACTATAACGAAAGAGATAAGACAAGGTGGGCATGGAAGAAAACTCCAAGGATGAATGAAGTGTCACAGGGCTCTTCAAGATTTTTTTTGAGCCGAGGCGAGTGACAGACGAGGGGAAGGTCAGGAAAGGGGAGAGGGGGGAGGGGAGAAACGGGGAAAATATTTTTGGCAAATCACTCCAGCAAAAAAAGATTCGTAATTAATTGATGACAAGACGGAAATAGAAATGTTGGAGCGGTGCTTTCTGGCGCTTTCAGCTGTGGGGGCCGGCCAAGCACGCACAGGACCGACCAAGGTCCCGGCCACAAGGGGAAACGGCTAATTCAAACTTGGCACGACAACGTCTCTTATTTATTTGTGTACGTTTCCTGTTCCACTTAAAGGGCTCCATGGTATGCCTTTACAAAAAATTTAAACACCAAAATATTATTTTGTGCAAACAGCCATTAAGGTGAATTGCAGCCGCATGAAAACGACACTCTACTGTTTGGTGTTTCAGTGTTATCTGAATGTATTTTTTCCCGACATAAAAAAAGTTCCAAGCTGACCTTTACAATAGAGGGCGGGGTATATTCTGGCAACCTTTAGCGACTAGGCCGCTGCAAAACACAAGCCTTCCGCACAAGATGACGTCACTGTTTTGTCATGAAACTCAAATTAGCGTATAAAAAACCATGCCCGAACCTCCAATTAAAAAAATTAACCAAAAATCTGTACACGCAACGTGAGTCCTGGTACATTTCAGAACCGCAACAAAATTCACTGTAAAGACCACAAACATAATTTCTAGCTATGCAAGAGCAGAATGAAATGGCTGGGATCGCGTGGTTTACTAATCCGTCCAGGTAACGCCATGACACGGCCAAGTTCCAACCGAAGGCGACGTGTCTGTCCAACTCGTCGGACAACACTTCCGCCCCATTAATTCCCCCAGTGTGGCCAGTTCTGCAACATGACAGAATTGCTGAAAGCCCAAAGCTGAATGTTTTTGAACACTCCTCCCCCGAAACTTTCTTTGACCTTGGCGAATATACAAGAGTGGGGATTGCTGGCAAACGCGCTAACAAACTGCGACACTTCGCGATCAGTTTCATCGAAACCCTGAATGTGTTTTCAATATTCAAACGAGCATGTCCCTGTCAAAACCTGAAAGAAGATGGTCATGTATCCCCCGGGTACTGCAAGGCCCGCGTTTATGATAAAGATGAATTATTCCGTTGAATAAAAACGAACCACAGGAGAGAAATCCTAACATTTTTTTTTCATGTCACTGGAGATGAATGTTGTTACCTCGCATAAAACGGACAAAAACGCTTGGAAAAAAAGCCAAAACATCCATCACGGTTGAAAACGGTAATAGTTTGATGGCATTAAGAATGATTGAGTTTGAGCGGCGAGGGGGCTTTGGGGCGGACTCATGAACGCGACTATGAGTCATCTCTTCGCGATTGCTGCTGGCGTTGTCAGAGTGTGAGGAATTTGACAAACGTCAAAACAGGCAAAGGTTGGCATCTGGGTGTAACTTCTGGTCAAGGTATTGAAGGTAAGAGTGGGTAACGATTAACCATGTCAACAGATCAACAGGCATAAAAGGAATTCAAAGACGATCAAGAAAAAAGGATTTCTTGAGCTTAAGTTGAACACTGCTGGACGAAAAGAGTGAAGTAAAGCCATGATCTATGCACGTACGTGGGCATCTAATTCCTGAAGAGGCTGTCGAAGTCAGCCTCTTCAAACAGGGGTGTTTGGCCACCTAAAATTAAAGCTGAAAACAGCTATAGCAAAAAGCTGAAATTCAGGGTGAACATCTGCACAAAAAAGCTCAAAATAAGCTAAAAAGCTGAATTCTCACACCCCTGTTCAGATTTCCGAAATCCCAGAGATTAAAGGAACTTCCCACCATCATTCATCCAAGTCGCTGACACAAATCAACGTTGATAGGCTAATACCTTAACTTCGAGATGGTTGACCATGACATCCCATATTTCTTTGAGGCTGCAACGCAAACATTGTTAGGGAAGGGGAAGATGGAAGGTGAAGCACAGATAAATCTACAGAAACGAAAATCAGGGTAAGCAGAGAAACTATGATAGGATTTGTGGAAGATGGCACACTCGAGATGTTCCCACGAAATATCCACAGTCTCAGATCGAGACCATCAGGTGGCTTGCGGAGGGAAAGAGAGCCGAATGTGTCATCAATTTATGTAACTTCCCGGATTATTCTGATTACTAATATTTGCAAGTGGCGATCTGGCAGGGTTTTTGGTTTTTTTTAACTCAGAGTTGGTGGAACCGCCAGAGAGCCATTTCCGGGAGCTTTGCTGGTATCTTTTGACGCATCTCTGTCGAAACAGTTTTTGGCCACTCAAATTACGAGAGGCAGACCCTCTGGAAAGACCTATTTGAAACCTCAAGGTCACACTCGGTAAGTGCAAGACTGCCACGCTGTCGTCGCCACGCATGCACAACAGGAAGACTCAAGATGAAGACAAGCCAGAAATCTAACCATGGAGGAACCACGTGCACATTTCATTCAAACTGGGCATGACTGGTTGAGGGCAGCACACACACCTGGCTGTTCAGCAGCAATGAAGCAAGAACGTGGAAGCTAAACAAGACTGTTGCTGATTCACGTGCGTCTGATTAAGCGCAGTCAATTACATTCCAGAAATGATGGGTATCAGTGAAGTATGGTCCCTCAGCTAAAATGGCTGTGTCTCACCTCTGATTGGCTATTTTTACAGAACAATCATTAGCAAGTATTCAGAAACCAAACAATGAAGTGAAAAAATGAAGGGAAAAAAAGTAGAATTTGAACCTCTCACCTGCAAAGTGGAAGTTCAAGTATTTTTACTATACAGCCACCTAACTTGCCAGTGGTGACTGGCTGGCTCAAATCCAGCAAACCAAAACGAACTAAGGTATTCTTCAAAGTCGAGGATGGCAAAATACTCCTCAAATCTTAACGAATATGCTACATATGAATGTATTTTCATGTGTAGCCTCTATATGCACAATAAATTAGATATTTGCCTTTAAACCATGAGTTGCTTTTTTTCTAAGAGAGATTTTCTCGTCTTGCCTGATGGCACTTTGCTAACTATGTATGTGGTCATTTTTGCCTATACCAGAGTTTCCAGCAGTGATATCGCTGTAAATCATCACCGCGGCAACCCGCAGCAAGAATCACCCCCTCCCCGGCGAAGCTACCTGAGCATTGGAGCACTAACGCGCCTCAAGAATCCAGCCGTGCTGTGTAAACGTATCCAACACGACACAAACACAAGCTAGCTGCATCTAATCGATAAGAAAACCTCTTTTAAACTCTTGCAAAGAGTGGCAAAGAAAGGGTATTGTGCCTTTTCCAAGGCACAATCATTATTATAGAATATGAAATAAAACAATTTGTATAATCCCTTTAAAAGAGAGCATATACGACTTTACAACACACCTGTAATGCATTGTGCATGGTCAGTAATACATTTTAAAAAAGACAACACGTATGAATATTAAACAAAAAAAATAAAAGATTTCTCTAAACGAAAGCAAATGACAACACATAGACTTTGTTTACATCAACACACAAAGTGCCCAAACAAAAGACTATTAACACAAATACATCTTACAGGATGCTGGTATCACGAACGGAATGGACCTGTCTTCCTTGTCGGCAAAATCATATATATGCCACTGGAGGCATAAAGGTTTTGTCTACCCTGGACAGCGCCCCCTTGAGTTAGATAATATGCAGCTTTCACCCAAACATTCCTGCAAGGGTAGTGAAGCAGAACTTCCATTTTTTTCCTGGCTTTCTTTTTCCCCCCAAATACCATTGATTATTTTCGGCCACGCCCACTCCAACTGGCTAGGTGACGCCCGTCACACATATACATATAACTATGGATAATGTAAATTCTACTCTGGGTGTTGAATCGCAACTCTTAGAGTTTCATAATTCAATATCCCAGTGACAACGGTGCAAATTCAGTACTCACACTGATTTGTGTTCAGACATACAGGATTTATGCATAACATCAATCAATTAACAGCATGATTTTCACACTTCTAGTGGCAGAAACACTGCGATTGTTTTTTTTCAAATAGATTTCAAATGCGTGCATCCCAGAATTCCATGGGACAGAAACCCACAAATTCTGACGCAGACGTAAAACTGCCGCCATCAAATTCGACATTGGTGCAACAACTCCGATGTCAAACTATTTCAGATTCCAAGTTAAATTTGTTCTGCCACTTCACCAAAAAAGGCTCTGGCCACCTCTAAAAATTTATCAAAAGTAAGAAACACGATAGCATTCTTGGCAAAAAGTATGCGTAACATACCTCTATGAACCATTCCTGGTAAAGATTACTTGAAGAATTTCCTGGGCCCTCAAAACCCCTCTAACTTTGATTTTTATCCAAAGAGTGTAGCTGCAAGGAACCTCACATGTGAACAGAATCTTGAATCCCTCAAACATTATGAAATTGTTAAAGACGGAGGACTGGCTCGATAATGTTGTTCTGTATCACAGGTACTTTTTCCCCGCTTTTTTCCTCTGCCCCTTGAGGGCGCTATGCAAAGCACTTTAGCCATACAACCAAAGAACCCTTGTTTTGGGCAGCATTCTGAAAGGAAAGGCAAAAACTCAATAACTGGCATATTTACCCAGCTGTTTTTACCCATGATCAGGTTTTGCAAGCGCATTCACCTAAACCCTATGCTCATCAAAGAATACAAAATGTCAACCAGTCAACTTTTGAATTTCAGGACCAACCAGATCAGTTCTTAATATGAAAAAGACTTTGTGCGTTCAAATCAATGTTTCACAAATATGCAAATTTACACAGACCAAGAGTAGAACACACTATTTGTAATGAATCCAACTGGAAAAGCCAACCAGTCTATAAACAAATACACAGAAAAGGCAGCATTGTGGCTTTTTTTTATAATCCCAATGCAGCTACACTTGATTTAAAATAAGGGGTTTCCAGAGGGGCCAGGTATGGAGACGCCCGTGGTGTGCAGAGCGTAGAGGATACCGACCACGCCCCCAATGAGGCAACACAGGACGAACGCGCTGAAGATGAACCACTTGAGGTTCCAGCGATAGCGGGCGGGGCCGGCCAGGCTGAGGAAGGCCGTGCAGGCTGTCAGGGTGTAGAGGATGGACACAAACGTGTTCATGGCCACGATCTTGCCGAACTTGGCAAAGAGCTGAATGGTGGTGTAGCAGAGCGGTACCGTGGCGATGACCGTGGTCAGTGCACTGCTTAGGATGGACACGCCGATGGTGCTAACTGAGTGCCGCGTGCGCCAGCGGCGGATCTGCGCGGCCGACTGGCGATTGGGAGATGACAGGAAGATAGTGTGAAATCGTTGTCTAATGGGGTCGACGTTAAATTAAGATGGCCGCTTAGAATACGGACAAGCATTTATAAACATAGTCAATTTCAAGAAATTTGGCATGACTTCACACTATGTGCATGCCTTAAGACTGGTTCATACTTCAGGCAAAATTGAACATGAACACAAACTTACGATGTTGGATCAAAAATTCGCATTACAAATTTGAATAAGTAGAAGGCAATCAACTCTAACAAAATTTTGATGCAAATTTTTTGTGACATCAAATTCGCTTCACTTTTGCGTTCTCCTGAGGTATGAACCGACATTTATGCCACCAATTTCTGGCGTAGTTGTGCAAGGTATTTGAGATCAATTGTACATGAAGTTGCTTAGCTGTGCTGTTTTAATTACATATCGTATCTTTGATGAAGGTGATCATAGTCTTTGGGCGGCTATTTCTTGTCAGTATGACACCCGTCATCAAACACTTGTTGAATTAGCTCTATTCACCATTTTGAAACAAATTTTAATCTTTTCTGTGTTGGGCAGAAAATCTCGATATTCTTTCACATTAGAACAACTTTTTCATTAAATCTGATAAAAAAAGTGGAGAGCTTTTCGTATACTGGTAAAATTGCCCATATCCAATTCACTCAGCACAACTTACATCACCTGAAACGATTGCGTACGTTGTGTCATAATTGGTTCCGCAAGTCACGGGGTGAGGCAGAGTGTGACTTTTGTGGAACGTGTCATAATTTGTTCTGCATGACCTACCTTGTGAGTGGCGTCTGGCACCCTGTCTCCCGCCACCAGGTAGCCCTCAATTAGATGGATGCAGTAATCGATGGAGGAGCCCACTATGATGGAGAGGGACACTGCCTCCACGGCACCCATCTCCCAGCCCAGGAGGAAGAACATGCTAACGACGACCATGATCACGCCTGGCGACAAACACAACGGAACTCTCAACAATGGTCCACCCTCACTGAGGCCACGGACGTG